AGGGAGTGATGGTGCTGGGGAATGGCATGTGCTCTGTCTTGTGGGAGCTCAAGTCCTGGGAGGGCACCGTCGGGACCTCAGATGGCCTTCGACACCGTTGGTGACTGCCTGGCGAAGAAGCCGGGGCAACCAAGCTGTGCAGTTGCTCCCTTTCTCGTGTGGGAGGCACGCTGGTTCTGGGCTAGGCCAGCTCTGGGCACTGGTACCCTCCGCCCTGCCCTCGTGTGAGAGGATCCTCCATGGGCATCTGGAGTGGGTGCTGGGGAACGTCCTGCCCAGAGTCCCAGCCCCAAATGGCAGCAGCAACTGCAAACGGCAGGCAGGGCCCCGCCCACATGTCAGGTGTTTGCTGCTGTCATGTGCGGTCAAGCGCAGGGACGGTGCCCCTGTGAAGGAAGGCACCCTGAGGCTGCCGGCTGCTAGGTGGGGCGGGACTCAGGAACCGGGGGTGGCCCTCCATGCATGCTGCCCACAGAGTGCACAGCACCATTCATTCCTCTTCCCTGTTCTCCCCACCAGCCTGAAATGGCCTCTGTCTGTTCTCCGGAGTGAAGTGCAGACTTGATCTGTTTAAAGTTTTCAATCAGGACGAAGTCCTGTTTCTGTGCTGGGCATGCTGGCCCCGTGGGCACTTGGCTCCTGCTCTCTACCCTGGGCCCACTGGACAGTCCCTGCCGGGTGCCACAGGCCACCCTCGCACACCCGGGCAGCTCGCTCCAGCCTCTGTCTTTGCACGAGTAGTTCTTCCTATTGGAATGTCCCCCTGCCTTCGTCCTCTTGACAAACTCCTTCAGGACCGGTCCCCTCCCCTGGAATCTTTTGGGGGTGCTCCTGGCACAGGGAAGTACTTACTCCTCTGCAGTGGCCTGGCATACGGACCCACCGCCCTACACTTGCCACACTGTCATTGGCATTCGTCATCTCCTTGCTTGGCTCCCCCGGGGACTCAATGAGTGGGAGGCCTTACTCCATTGTCTTCCATCCCTGGTCCAGCACAGAGCGTTAAGTCCTCATTCTGCACGAGATGCAGCAGGACCCTGGATGCAGAGCTATGACTTGGCTGCGCATGGCTGGTGCCAAGGCTGGGCCGATGGCCGGGCTGTGCTGGCAGCTGCATCGCTAGCCCCACCCGGCCTGGCCCTGGGGCCTCACATCGGCTGTGCAGTGACTCCTTGGGGAAGAAGACAGATGCCTGAAAATTAACTGCAAAAATATTTTTACGGCGATTTGTCACACGCTGACATCTACATTCTCGTGTATAAATTATACATTAAACTCATTTGGGTTTCTGGTGCAGATGACTCTTTTCCGGGTAATTAATTTTCTGATTTATAAAGAATGGAAAAAGAGGAGAAAACACAGAGGAATGTGTGTGTTCCAGGTCAGGATCCCATTCAGATCTCAGCTCTTTGCTTCGGTCCTGCCTGTGGAGCTGTCGGGGCAGATAAGGGGGAGCTCTGGGGCCAGCTGTGCCCCAAAGGCTGCGCAGCTTCCTGCTGCCGGTCCAGGAGGCACGGTGCCTGCTTCCTGCTTCCTGTCCTCGGGTCATGACGCAGGTTTCAGCAACCTCTCACCTCCTCAGTGAACTTCACGTTTACCGGGTGCCTGACCCCACGGAACACTCCCATAGCCCGGGGTCCCCGTTTCAATGAAGCCATGGCTCACCGAAGTGTCGCAGTCGATACTAAGAAATGGAGTTGGGACACGTATCCATGACTTTGACCATGGATGCAGTTACTGATGTTTTTCTCTTCATTCACTTTTGAATTATGACTCAAGTTCAACAGATCATCCGTGCACTCATTCATTGTTTTCATTCACTCTCTTATCCAACATAACTAAGTGCTGACTTTGGTCAACTGGACAGAGCTTTGCAGATCCCAGGAGACACAGCCGGGAGCAAGGCTTGGTGCAAAGCAGCCACATGGTGGCTCAGGGTGGGAGTGCGTGGGGACAGGCCCCGTGGGCTGGACCTTTTCCTCTTCCTTACCTTCGTAGGCACTCCCTCCACCACGTTTACCTTGCATCTGCTGTGCCCTGTTGGGCCGTGTGCACAACTTAGTCCGCTAAACCTGGAAGGACGCTTCACCTCCTCCTGTCCATTGGCCCCAGTGCGGCTTGTCCCCTAAGGCCTCCACCCCACCCTCTCTTTTCTGGGGACATTTCCCAGCTCCTAGCAGGCCTGACTGGCTGTTTCTAGGGCTCAGGTGCTGAGGGCCGGGTGGGGCCAGGCACACCTGTCGCTGTGGTGTCTGCTCTCCAGAGGAGCCAGGAGAGGGTAGGAGCAAACACTGGTGATGCAGACCGTGCCAGGTCACAGAACTGATCCTGGGGCGCACATTTGGGGTCACACAGACATCGCTGGGGTGAAAGGTGACAGTTATGACGGGAAGCATCACTCCCCTGATGACACTGCCTGTCTCTTCTTTTCGCTTTATATTTGGTGAGGATCTTTGGGCGTCCTACACGCTGTGGAAGACACACATCTCAGCGTAGGCGCTCTCTCACCTGCCGTCACTTTTGCTGCTTTGCCACTCCCGACACCATTTGATGTCCCACAGGAACCGGTGTGGTTAGGCTGAGGCGGGAAGGCAGCCGCATTATGTTCCTGCTGGATTTCAGCCAAGCCCCAGCATGGTTACGACCTTGGCCACCTCTTCCCTGCCTGTGCTCTTTCACCAGCACAGGAACCCACACCCCTGTCAGGGGCGGCAGCCTTCACAAGCTCCGGCCCCTCTGCTTGCTCAGCTATCCCCGTATCCTGGGGCTGAGCCGGTGTTGCCTGGGACACAGGACTCGGGACACGTGTGTTCGAACCGCTGTCGTGACCGAGAAAGCTCCTCCCCCCTTTCTCCTCCCTCTGCCCCCCCGCCCCCCTCCCCGCCCCCGGCCTGTCCCGTTCTTTCCGTTGGTGATTGGCCAGTTTCTATACGGTGTTAGATCGGTTTCTTGGATGACCACCTCCCTATTCGTCCCTACATCCCTTAGCCTGGGACCAGACACCTTTCCACCTTTCCCACCCTCTTTCCCACTTCCTTCTTTAGCTGCTGACCACAGCCACACTGCGACTCAGGCCTGCACACAGGGAGCTGCTGGCTTATGTCCTCCGTGCTTCTTGCTCACACAGCCACCCCGTGTTAGCGTCTCCACGTGCCTCCATGCTGGCCCCTGGCCTGGCCCTTGCTCCAGCCTATGGAGCGCTCTCGGTGCAGCTGGGTCCCAGCCCACTGCCTCTGATCCCCACAGCTGGGGTCAAGAGGTGGCTTCCTCCCTCCTAGCGCCCCCTCTCCCTGCCGGCTCAGCCTGTGCAGCTCCCAGAAGCAGCCCTGACCTGTGCCTGAGGGAGACACCTCCTCAGCATCCTCTCTGTCGAAGCATTAAGCCGCTCCTGCTGCATACCTGCCGAGGCTTTGGTGCCTCATGCGGGCCTGGTCCGTGCCCTGACGAAGCCGTGGGACACAGTCCTAGCTGTGCAGCTGCTTTCATTCAGTAACCATAGCAACCTTCCCTGAGGCCTGAGCCCTCAGCCTCAGTGTGTTCCCTTTCCCAGCGTGGAAGTCCGGACCATACTTGGCTGCAGACCTCCCTAACGCAGCGCTGTTCTCACACTGACGCTGTAGGACCCTTTCTCCAAGTGCCCTTTCAACATGCTAATTAGCTCACGCATGTTCCTTCCTCAGTGGCAAAGAAAATGCAAAAGCCTTTCACTGGCCTCTGCCCACTCTCCAACCCATTTCCACCCATTGGGGTCCCTCTGCTCTTTCCCGAGCCCCCTGGAGGCCAGTTCCCTCCAGCATTCATTCTCATTACGTGGTGAGCTTTTCACTGACTACCTTCTCAGGATGAGCCCCATCCCAATCTCTTTTCACGGCACTCTGCCCAGTTTTCTTCAGTGAGATGCGATTTTAAGCTGTTGGGTTTGTTGTGTCGAGAAATTTTGGAATGAATTCACAGATAAGGGAGGGGTAAGCAAAAGGGAGAGAAATTTATTAAAGCGAAAGTAACAAGGCTCTCGGCATGTGAGAGGGTCCCCCCCCAAAAGGGGTTGCTGCAGAAGCTCACCAGTCTAGGGGTTTCTATTTCCTGCACTTGTCTTCTACTGGCTCTTTCGAAAATTTCCTTCCTTATCACCAGCCAATCTCCTCTTGCCCTTGCCTTCCTGCTTTTAGCTCCTGCTCTTGGATTGGGTGGAGGGGTGGGAAGGGCAGCCCTACAGTTGGCTGGTACATTCTGCGGATCTTGCTCACATCCTGACCATCCTCTTGATCTGCTGTCTTCCCTCCCCTGGGCCCTTACCCTAAACTGCCTGATCCTAACTCCTCAACAGCAGATACTTTTTAATAAAAGAGTATGCTTTTTTTTAAACAACAAAAAAAAATTGTGCTACAATCCACACCACATAAAATTTACCATTTTAGCCCTGACCGGTTTGGCTCAGTGGATAGAGCATCGGCCTGCAGACTGAAAGGTCCCAGGTTCGATTCTGGTTAAAGGCATGTACCTTGGTTGTGGGCACATCCTCAGTGGGAGGTGTGCAGGAGGCAGCTGATCGATGTTTCTCTCACATCGATGTTTCTAACTGTCTATCCCTCTCCCTTCCTCTCTGTAAAAAATCAATAAAATATATTTAAAAAAATTTTTTTTTTTACCATTTTAACCATGAA